ATCAACCTTGTATACAGAGGGAATAGGATTGATACTTGAAGACTCCTCTCTCAGTTGGTATTTTGAGCTACTTCAGCCATGCGTATAGGTCAAGTTCATCAAATTGTAGCAATTTACACTTATTTCCTCAAGGTTTTCTTTTGTACACAGTGAACGCACATTACTTTAAAAATCAAGCAGAGAAATGGTGAAAGTCAAAAATACTGCCACAAAAGCATAACAACTGTTATTAAACAAAAATGTCAAAATATGAAGCATCCTCCATCTAGGTTTATACACTTCTAAACGCATTGTGAATCTGTCTAACCTTTTGCTAAAGAATATTTACCCATATCAAAGGGCAGTTTGAAGGACTAAAATGCTCTTTGAGTTTAGTGAACAAAAAGAAGTCTGAAAGATTGAGATCTGGGTTGTAAGGTGGATCGGGCAAGGTTTCCCAACGAAATTGTTGCAGAACAGCCTTTGTTACCCTTGAGCAATGAGCAGGCGCATCCTCGTGATGCAAACACTTTCTCAATGCGACCTTCCTGAAATTTTTCTCACCAAGGCAATTTTCAGTTTTCTCCAAAATAAGCCGCTGTGAATTTCTTGTGTTTTCCAAGAAATTCTGTCAAGGTTATCCCTAGGGAATCCATTAAAAAAAAAATAGTCACTGTAACCTTCTGAGCTCACCTTGAATTTAACTGATTTGGCAGATCCCCTTGGAAGCCACTGTTTTGATTGGACCTTTCTTTCTTTCTTTTTTTTTTTGAAGGTACCCTAACAGCACTCAAACAAGTGTATTACACACCCAGAGAACATGTGTGCAACCATAATACTGATGGCAGAGACACATTTAGACTCGTCTTGTTTGGAATACGCTCATGCATGTATGAACTGGTACCCTAGTAGCAACACTTTTTGATTTATCCTCATAGCTCAACTTGTTGTTGTTGTTAATTGCCGATGTTGTTTGGTCCCTGATCCTATTCACAACGTAACAAAACACTGCCTGCCTCTCCACCGTCCCCATGATAAGCGCCAGATGGCCATTTTGTAGCCCACAGGGTTTTTATTGGCTGATTTTCTCAGATGTAGATCTTAATGCTTTTCTCCTTAGTCCATCTTAATCTGGAAGCTCTACTGAAAACCAGTCAGCGTCATAATTTAAGGAGTGTTTCTTTGTTGTTAAAGAATTCCTGTCAGAGAAACAGTATCATGTCTTCCTTCCCTCCCTTCCTTCCTCCCTTCTTCCTTCCTTCCAATCTTTTGCTGTATTTGGTGGGCACAGGGCAGCATAGAGTATACAGAACAGCAGGAGAGGTCAGGGCTTTGCTGGATGACTTGTCTACAGGCCTCAGTTTCCGCCTCTATACAAATTACTGGTTGGACTATTTCATCTCTAAGAATGGAGTGTGCACATAGATACAACAGTTCTAATATTCTAACTGTGAGGCTAGCCCTAGAGTGATATGATTGACTGTCTCTATGAGGAGTCCTGGTGTGGCGCTGTGGGTTAATGCGCCAGACTGCAATGCCATCTGAACTGCAAGGTCGGCGGTTCAAGCTCACCAGCTGCTCCTTAGAAACCTTATTCAGGGTCGCTATGGGTCGGAACCAACTCGATGGCACTTAACATCAACAACAACAATGAGCATAAAATCACTCATACACACATACAAAGGATGTCACTATCCAGGTGGCCCCCCGTGGGACAAGTGAGTTAGCAAGGAAGACCCTTGCGATTTAATTTGAGGGTTGTTGTTGTCAGGTGCCATCAAGTCAGTACCGACTCATAGCAACCGTATGAACAACAGAAGAAAACAATGCCTGGTCCTAGGCCAACCTCACAATTTTTGCCACGCGTGAGCCCATTGCTACTGCCGCTTTCGGAGGTGTATTTCATTAACATCATTTATTCCTTTTATGCATGTTTTTTATACCTCTGCTTTCACGGGGCCAGGCACTCAAGTGTGTGATGAGACCCCAGCTAAACACATCCTATTCTCTCTTCAGTGAGAGCAAACCCTTGCACTTGGAGAGTTACTTTAACTTATGTTCACACTCTGAAAAGCCACAATTGGTTTAAAGCTAAGTCTCTGGTTGTGGATGAGCCAAATGGAACATAGCATTCTGGGTGCAGATGTCATGTCTACTATGAGCTGATTTTCCTGTGTGTCTTGTAAGTGAGGAACCCACGCCTTTAGCAGGGTGAAGAAAACAACAAGTGAGCTCACCCGGAGTCCTGTGATGGAGTGAAAGTCCGTGGACTCGGAGGTCTCTTGCCTCCCATCTTTGGGATTTGCGGACATCCTTGATTTCTCTGAGCCTCAGTGTTTCCATCCATGAGATGGGGGAGCAGTGTACACTCTGCCTGCATGTGAGCAGTTGTCAGGTTCACAGCTCCAGAAGGGTCTCACGAAGAGATGGTCCTGTAGTGGGCCATCCCATTGGTACTCATTGCTTTTCAGAGATTGCTACAGGAAATGGACAGAATATATTGGAAATACATCCGAGGGAGCCATGTGGCACAGCGGTTGTGAGTCCAGTGTGGCTAAACAGGCGTGGCCCTGCAGCATGACTTTGAACAAGTGACTTTATCTCTCTTGAGTCTCTGTGTCCTTGTCTATAAATTGGATTTGTAGTAGTAATACCCACCTTTTAGGGTACATTCATGAGTCCCTAGGTGATGCAAACAGTTAATCACTTGGATTAATCACTAACTGAAAAGTTGGTGGTTTGACTCCAGCCAGGGGCTCTTTGGAAGACAGACCTGGCCATCTGATTCTGAAAGATGACAGTTCAGTTCCACTCTAAAACCAGTGGGGTTGCCACGAGTCACAATCCATTCCACAACAGCTGCTTTTGTGTGTTGTTGTTTTGACACATTCAGTATAGTGTCGAGTACTTATTAAAGTCTGAGTACATCAACACTCG